TAGTTCATATACTGATCTATCCCCCCCCTGGGCCCGAGGTAATTTTATACGCCACTGTGGCTATTATGCTCCGGCGCAATCGGGCACGGTCTTCGGTTTTCCTAAATCAGCCGGCAGTTCCCTAACGCCTAACCCTAACTCTAACCCTAACCCGTAAACCTAACCCCTAACCCTTAACGCTAACCCTAACCCCGAACCCTAACCCCTCAACCTAATCCTAACTCTAACACCTAACCCTTGGTTTACTTGAGATAACACTAACAATTTAAAACGGCGGCATTAGGAAATCGAAGACCTAGTGCGCCGGCGCGTCAGATATAAATCATATATTGCCGCTGCGGGGATATAGCACTCTGAATTTTATACAGTGCAACTGAAAATGCGGAATATAACCTTTGGCCATGCGGAATGCGGAGGTTAGCCTAGAAATCGTGAAATGATCCGCAGGAATGCGGGAATGGTTGGAGACCCTGTATTGGTATGGTATGTTTTAATCGCCGCTGAATGGACAACTTGGGTTTTAATGATTTAAAAATGAAAATAATGGAAATACTTTTGAAAATAATGAATATTTCTCGGCGTGGCTCTGACGCATGGCGGGCGGTGGACGGGAAACTCATGACCTACAATTCTCACTGGAATACAATAAACCTAGATCAAGAAACGGTCATGACACGATTACATTTCAGATGTTGAATCAAGAAGTTGTAGATTGATTGCACGAGGTAATTAAGCATGTATAGTACTAAGAGGCTAGAGCTATATCTGGGGTAGAGGTCTAATTACACTTGACAAATACTATGAATATGATTGTCATTATCTACCCCCTACAGCTGATATATATATAGTAATAAATACAGCGTCTACTTACCCATAGAATTGCAATAACTATTGCCGATCGGTAGATGCAATCTTGTAGCGTCATTTTCGATTCGGTGAGTGAACCTAATTAAGCGACACAGAGCGTGAAAACCAACAAAACTCAAAAACGAGAACAAAGGACGACTACGCGCTCGATTCGCTTATATGCTGTCCGATTCGCGCGCAAACGGGCACGTGGGTCATATTTCTAAGAATACGTACCATTTTCTCTACGTACCATACTGCATTAGCTACACATGCGGTTTATCAGGCATTATGTCAGAAGTGGTTATGCGATATAGGAGCTGAAATGATCTCGATATTTCGCGGACGGCACCCCCCCACGTCCAATGTACCAAAGGCACCACACCAAAAAATAACATAGTAAAGCCACGGCTGAGATACAGGGACATAGACCGGGAAGAAACTAGAAATAACCATTCATTATCATTTCATTTTGCTGTCATAAAAATTCGCCATGATGAATGTTTTGTTGTTTACGTGTTATATGATATAGACATATATATGTATATGTAACATATATAATATATTGTTAGGGCCTATAATTGTCCGATATATAACGTGCGCGTAGGCGTACTTATATATATGAGTTTGCTTTTGTCTGTGTTGTGTTTTTCCTAAAATACTGTGATTTCACAAACAATCGCTGTAAGATACATTGGACTACATCTGAATTGCATATAACCGTATACAGCAGATATTCATTAAGCTAGCGCAGACTTGGACATTTGATGCCTCGTATCAGCAACCTGCAAGCCGCATGCGATTCGCGTCGCAACGCTTCGCCGTGTGTGCGCCGACCACAGTGCGATTTTGAAGGCGATTTCGCGAGCGATTCGGAGCGACGAGGATTGCAAGCGAACCAGCCATAGCGCGCCATCAGCGATTTCAACAGCAATTTCGACTGCGATTCTAGAAGCAAGGCCGAGTTGCCATGTAAAAAGTCTACACCTCTGTAGCTTGGAGGCATCCTTACTTCAAAGGCCTAGATCCGCTCCTCTGCCATGGTCCTGATAAAAACGACCCCACCCCTCCTGGAATGCCCCCTATAGTAATTAAATAAATAATAATAAAATATAATAAGATAATAATAATAATAAAGTAAATATATAAATATAATATAATATTAATAATAAGTAACAGCTGTCGATTATAATTATATAAGAATCAGGAGTAGACCGATTAGTCATATTATGATTAGATCCTTTTCTAATGTGAAAGTTGCCCAAAAACCATGTAACGCTATGATATCCGCGTATCTCCCGTACCATCAGACTTGCCAAGTGTCGCAAATTCCTGTGACGCACATACAAGTACGCACCCAGTAATATTACTGTAATATATCGAAAAGCTTCTCTATATTTGGTACAATCAACAGACATAAAAACAGGGGGCGTGCGCGGTTTGCGTTCTGCGCAGATGGCCGTAGGCAGTTTGGTGAGCAACCGGTGGTTGCTTATTTTCTAATGTGTTTCTAGTGCGAGAGGGAAACTGGTGATCAGTTCCTAACCCTAGTCCCTAATCCTCATTTTTTCTTCCCAAATCCCTTGTGTGTATGTACCTAAGAGGGTAGGCCTATACTACGTGCGTACGTTCGCGCGCGCGCACGAGCGACTGCCTACTACCGCTCAAGGGGTCGTTGTCGTATCAGGTACTACAGATATGTACCCGATGTATACAGAAAGTGTACCAGACTTGTACTACAGAAGTGTACCCTAACCCTAACACTAACCCTAACCCTAACACCTAAACATACCTCATATAAAAATATAAACATAATATTAAAAACAACCTAAAACTACCTCGGGTATATATGTGTAGTACCTGATACGACAACGACCCCATCTGCCCTACTACCTGCCTACCCATGGGTATCTACTAATATGGTACACATATTGATGCAGTATGCGCAGCATATATAGATGCTATTAGGTAGATGACACCTTTGTCATGTCTATGTTCTATATCTATGTGGTTGTCTGCTTGCCTGCCCGCCTCGCTCCCTCGCTCCCTCTCGTTCTCCGCTCTCTCTCTCTTCTCTCTCTCTCTCTCTCTCTCTCTCTCTCTCTCTCTCTCCTCTCTCTCTCCTCTCTCTCGCTCTACTTTTTCTATCTCGTCTCCCCTCCTCTCTCTGTCTAAGCACGTGCTTAGGGCACCAGGGCCAAAGGGGGCACCACAAAGTTGGGAAAAAGGTGAAAAGAAAAAAAAACTAATAAAGAGTTGTACTTCCCAGATTAGTTCGAGTCGACGCAGACCCCAGTAATGGGTTAAACCCCAGTAATGATTAAAAAGACCCCAGTAATGGTTAAACCCGCACCCTCAGATTAGCAAAGCGTACTACGGTAGTTATAACGTCTGCATTTGCGGACAATTCCCAGGTGTACCACAAGGGTGGCATGAACAACACTTTGTCTACAGAGCTTCAGCAGCTCCATTCATATGTTCTTCATAAGTTTAAAACAATCAAGAAAACATCTTTCACTCACATGAAACTTTACAACACAATTACAGAAGACAAACTAGAGAGTGCCTTTCCAAATGTTGAAATTGCATTAAGAATATTTTTAACATTAATGGTCACCAACTGCACAACGGAAAGGTCTTTCTCACAACTGCAACGTGTAAAAAACCCAAATAGATCAGTTATGCTTCAAGAAAGACTCGACTCACTGTGTATATTAACACTTAAAACAGATATTCTGAGAAGTATTTCTTTCGAGGATGTTATCAGTGATTTTGCGAAAATGAAATGTAGAAAAATGCCTTTCATGTCATGAATAGTGGAACTTTGATACATTTAACTTGTGAAATATTAAAATAGGTGTTGTATTGCATTTTTGTAGAACTTTATGTAGCCCAAGCTTGGCTTAGTTTGTGAAGTATACAGGGGCGGATCCAGGGCTGAAGATAGACAGTATTTTTCCAGATTTTAAGGGCACATCCCCAAAAAAGGGCACACCACCCCACAGCTAGTGGGCGCCGTTAGGCGCGGAAGCACAGGGCGGGGGGCCTCCTCCAGGAAATTTTAAAATTTCAAGGGTCCCTGGGCACAAAAATGACCACCATGTGAGCACACATTCAGTCAAGCAGCAATAGCTAAAAACCATAATATGGAATTTTATTTCTGCTTCATTTTGCCTACGCTTTGATACGCAGATTAATGCAGAATGGATTCAATCACTTCCTTTCTTTTTCAGCATATCAAAGCTAGTTTTTGTTACCATGTAAAATTTTGATTTCCTTAGTCAATGAAGTCAAGAAAAGAAAACAATATAAGAATATAGCCAAATTCATCAAATTGTTTTCTGTATTTTTTAGCGCAAAATTTCGGAAGGGACATCTTGAAATGCTAGACCGTATTTCCCAATACGGCAAATACGGTCTGAATCCGCCCTTTTTGGGTATATTGTGTTATCATATGAATAAATTTTTGTACTGCTGCAACCTGCATTGTATATCTGGCCAGACAGGTCAACAACTAAAATGGACTGGGTCAGTGTGAAAAAGAGGGGGGCACCAAGATTGGTCAGTGCTTAGGGCATCAGTGAGCCTTAATGCGCCGCTGCCTGTGACTCTTTGAAATTATAGTGTTAACTAAAACTGTTACAGTAGTAGAGTGTTTCAGTAGCTTACAAACCATCAATGAGTCTTTATCTTAAAAAAGGTTATAATTACATTTTAATGGTTACGCCAAAAATTTGACTAGTTGACACCTGTTATACCCACTTAGTATCACAATACATTTATTTGTATAGATCCCAATGTAACCGAGTAAGACCCGAGTAAACAACTGTAGGTCCAAACATGTTACTAGGTTTAAACTAGTACTTTTTTTTATTAACCAAGGGGGGTTACAGAAACCAAATAACCCCCCCTGGATACGGCCCTGGGTGCGTACTTGTATGTGCGTTACATGAATTTGCGACACTTGGCAAGTCTATGGTACGGGAGATACCGGATATCATAGCGTTTACATTGTTTTGCAACTTTCACCATTAGAAAAGGATCTTAATCATAATTGACTAATCGTCTACTCTTGATTCTTATATAATTATAATCGACAGTGTTATTATATATTATATATATTATATTTATATATTTATTTATTATTATTATTATTTATTATTATTTATTTATTACTATAGGCGGGCATTCCAGGAGGGGTGGGTCGTTTTTATCAGACCATGGCAGGAGCGGATCTAGGCTTTGAAGAAAGGGGATGCCCTCCAAGCAACGAGGTTGTGACTTTTTCATGCAACTCGGCTGCGATTCTAGAATCGCAGTCGAAATTGCTGTGAAATCGCTATGGCTGCGCTATGGCTGGTCGCTTGCAACTCGTCGCTCCCAATCGCTCCGAAATCGCTTCAAAATCGCATGTGTGCGTGCGCACACACGGTGAAGCGTGCGACCGATCGCATGCGGTTGCAGGTTGCTGCTACGAGCAATCAAAAGTCGCAAGTCTGCGCTAGGCTTAATGAAATATCGTATACGTATATGCAATTCCAATGTATCCAATGTATCTTACAGCAATTTGTTGTGGAAAATCACAGCTATTTTAGGAAAACACAACACAACAAAACAAACTCATATATATATATATATAAGTACGCCTACGCGCACGTATATATATCCGGACAATTATAGGCCCTACATATATATATATATATGTACATATACATATCATAATGCTATACATATAACACGTAAACAAACAAACAAATAATTGGAAATTTATTATGACAGTCAAATGAAATGAAATGAATGTAATTCTAGTTCTTCCCGGTCTAGTGTCCTGTATTCCAGCGTGGATTTTACTATGTATATTGGTGTGCATTGTACATGGACGTGGGGGGGGGGGTGCCGTCCCGGAAATATCGAGATCATTTCAGCTCCATATCGCAACCCTTCCTGACATATATGCCTGATAAACCCGCATGTAGCATAATGCATAATGGTACGTTCAGAGAAATGGTACGTATTCTTAGAAATAATGACCACGTGGCCTTTGGCGCGACAATCGACAGCATATAAGCCGAATCGAGCGCGTAGTCGTCCTTTGTTCTCGTTTTGAGTTTGTTGGTTTCACGCTCTTGTCGCGTAATTAAGTTCACTCACCGAATCGAAAATGACGCTACAGATTCATCTACGATCGGCAATAGTTATTGCAATTCTATGCGGTAAGTAGACGCTGTATTTATACTATATATATTATCAGCGTAGGGGTAGATAATGACAAATCATATTCATAGTAATTTGTCAAGTGCTAATTAAAATCTACCCCAGATATAGCTCTAGCCTCTAGTACTATACATGCTTAATTACCCCGTCAATCAATCCTACACTTCTTGATTCAACATCTGAAATGTAATGTGTCATGACCGTTTCTTGTATCTAGGTTATTGTATTCCATGAGAATTGAGGTACATGAGTTTCCCGTCCACCGCCCGCATGCCGTCAGAGCCACCGCCGAAAATATTCATTATTTCAAAAGTATTTCATTATTTTCATTTTTAAATCATTAAAACCCAAGTTGTCCATTCAGCGCGATTAAAACATACATTAATACCAATACAGGGTCTCCAACCATTCCGCATTCTGCGGAATCATTACGATTACGACTTTCTAGCTTAACCTCCAGCATTCCGGCAGCGCAACGGTATATTCCGCATTTCACGTTGCACTGTATAGAAATTCAGAAGTGGCTATATCCCGCAGCCGCATAATATGATTTATCATCTGACGTTTTCTGCCGGCACGGTCTTCGATTTGCCTAAATGCCCGCAAGTTTTTAAATTTTTAGTGTTATCTGCAAGTAAACAGGGTTAGGGTTAAGGTTAGGATTAAGGTTTAGGTTAGGGTTCGGGTTAGGGTAGAGTTAGGGTTAGGGTTAGGGTTACGGGTTAAGGTTAGAGTTAGGGTTAGGGTTAGGAAATTGGCCGGGCATTTAGGAAAAGCGAAGACCGTGCCACG